TATACATGTAATTAATGTGTTTATAATTATATTTTATGCAATTATAAAAATATAAATTTATTTATTAAGTATTTCTTATATACGAATCCCTTAATTGACATGTAAATCCAAAATTAGGAAAAATGCATTTGTTATAAAAAGACAAAATATTAAGAATATTTGTTTTATTTATCAATTTAATTTACTTTTATTTTATTTTTATGTTCGTAAAAAATAAAAATCAATTTTACATCATAAATAAAATGACTATAAAAAAAGTTGGACTTAAGTCACTATTCCAGATATTTTAACGATTATTTTATTTATGATGTAAAATTGATTTTTATTTTTTATGAACATAAAAACAAAATAAGAATAAATTAAATTGATAGATAAAACAAACATTTTTAATACTTTCTACTTTTATAACAAACGCATTTTTTTCTAATTTTGGCACTTGTCAACTAAGGGGTTTATATATATATGTTAAGTATTTTTTACTATTTTATTATATACTATTAATTTCATTATCTTACAATTTATTAATTAAAATTCTGATAGTTTCTTTATCTTAATAATCATAAAGAAAATGTCAGAAAAGGTAAATAATGTTTAAAAGAAAAGATTGAAGATATTAAGATTTATTTGTTCGAGTAATAAAAAGTATGATGTAAATAGTCAAATTAAACATTCTTAGAATTTACGGAGCAAATTTTTTAAGAATATCTACTTATTACTATAATAATACATAATATCAGTAGTAATAATTATCGCATACAACAAGAAATATCGTAGCAATATTATTTTGAAAGATTGTAATATTTTATAAAACATTGCTGCAATATTAAAGAAATATTGCATACATATTGCTTATTGTTATAACATTATGCAATATTTCAATAATTATTCTAATTCTATTAACTGCTGACATATTATTAATCAGCATCATATTCCAAAATACATACAATAAAGTTATGATTAAAAAATATTCGGGAAGAGGGGCCTAGAAAGCACATCCAAAGCTATGTTCCGATTTCTATCCGAATATAATCCAGGTATTATTTCATCCTTGTTATTTACCAAACATTAAACAAGGACATAACATCCAGAGAACACTCGGATGGGAATCCGAACACGCCTCAAATAATATATTGCAATATTTTCTACAAAATATTAAAATTATAATATTTTGCAATATTGTTGCAATATTTCTAATAAAATATTATAATTTCAATATTGCTGCAATTTTACGTCCTATTGAAATATTACTGCAGTATTGCAATATTTTGTGCTATAAGGAAATATTCTTTTAGTATTATTTTATAATCATTTTTTCAAAATTTTTTTTTTTTATAAAGATCCTGAGAAATCGGACAAATGAGAATGTAACGCAGTTGGAGCATGATACTATTAATCAGTATAGTGATCGAATTGCATTTTTATAAAAATAAACGTTTCGATTCTTTTTAGATCATCAGCGTTATATATAATTCTTCAAAAATGTGAGACATCACTCATGCATCAATAGCAGCCACTAAAGAATTGAAAGATCCTAAGAGAGATGCATGAATTTTGATTGTTGCAATCTTATACAATTTATTTCTGAAACGAATGTGAAAAAATATCGTGTTATTGGCAAATTATAAATACTAATGAAAATATGTGGCTTATCATTTGCTGAGAGATTACAGGAACAAATAATTATAAGAATAAAGTACAAGAATTCATGCAATAACTATTTAAAAATATATATAAATAGTCAGAGTATAAGAAAATACTAGGAAGAGTTCAGACTGACGATATTATTTGAAAGTGTGTCGCATATACATATATTGTCATTATTTACAAGGATAAAAATCATTAAAATAATAAATTATTTATAATTTGTATAAAATCGAAATATATATAAGCGTGATATTAAAATTCTTAGATTTTTTAAGATTAAGACTATTATTTTGCATTTGTATAACATCTCAGATACCAATCTTCTTCCTAAATAACATTCACGATCTAAAATTTTGATATTTTCTCAAACGAAATCATGATTAAATGAAAGTCTGTAATCCGTAATGACCTAATGCTAATGGAACTATTAATTTGTCAATGTTCTCGTTTTTAATTTTCTGCCGATTTGCTCTAGGTATGTCGCGTAGCAATCTTTGCAATCTATTTTACACACTATATTCTTGTTTGATTCTTTCGGGAGAACATCTTTGTGAACATTCACAAATCTTCCAAGTTTATTTAAAAATGCCAGGTTCATGTTCAAAGTTGCTAGTAATACTCCTGAATTTATTTGAGATTGATTCAATACATGGTAAAACGAACCAAGAAGTATATTCTTATTCTGCTGGCGAGTTAATCTTGTTGTTTTCTGCCTTGGATTATATGTGAAATAACGTTTTTAAGCTTAAATTTATCATCTCAAAAATAAAATTAGGAGGATAATTATTCTTCAGTAAAGTATTTATTATAAATTTAAGGTTTTTGTCTGATATCTGGAGTATGACAAACATCTGTCAACCATTCCCATGCTTTTTACACGATATTATTTCCAATATATCTAAACCTTTTAGTAATATTGATAACAGTTTTCTATTAGCATTTTCTGTCTCATGAAAGAGGAACTGTAATGGGAATGGTGATATATGTAGGACAAACTGGCAGAAAATTAAAAAGGAGAATCCAAACATTGTCAACAAATTAACAGTTCCATTAGCACTAGAACGATCGGATTACAGACTTTCATTTAATCATGATTTTCAAAATTTTACATCGTTATTTGGGAGATCGAGTTATTTGGGAAAAAGTATGATTCTTATGTGAATAAACTAGCAATTTAACTCGATATTACTGCGATAATTTAGTAAAGTTAGCGTTTCAAGAAAAATAATTTCAGCGCGCGTTTCTAGGGACTAGTATTTACACAAGAATCATACAAGCATTTAAGATCCAGCTAGACTGTTTAAGACTTTGATTTCTATAATTTTCTTTTATAATGGTTATTACACAAATTCTTGGACTTTATTCTTATAATTATTTGTTCCTGTAATCACATCTTTTAGCATCACATAATAAACCACATATTTTCATTAGTATTTATAATTTGCCAACACGGTATCTTTTCACATTTGTTCCAAAAATGATTTGTATAAGAATAACAAAATTCATGCACCTCACTTAGGATTCTTTAGTGACTGCTATTGATGCATGAGTGATGTCTCACATTTTTGAAGAACTATATTAACATTGATGATGATTCTAAAGAATTCGTTTTTATGAAAATACATGCTATCAATTATTACACTGATTAACAGTGTAATTTGATCACGCTCCAATAATTTCGTTACACTCTCATGTACCCGATTTCTCAGGATTTTTTATTATTTGTCATATATATATGTATAAATACAGAGTGATCTACTTAAATCGACCATCTGATCTCGCTTATTTGATGATATAAAAAAATGTTTCAAATGAAAGTATTTCAAGAACGTATTTTGGTCATGTTGATTTTTTTAGGTGGAGGCGTCAAAAAGATATGGAAGATATTACCTCCACTTTTTAAAATGGAATTGTATGATTTCTTTTACACAATATGATTCCTCTAATTATTCTGCATATAAAAGTATAAGTAGTAATATGAAAAATCAATAGTTGAGATTTTACATTTTATTCTGGCACATATTGACATAAAATGTTAAATAACTCATAAACTATTAACTTTTTGATAATACCTTAATACTTTTATGAACAGCTAATAAGTTGAATTAGTTAGTGTAAAGAAATATCGTTGTTTTAAAAAAATATGTATACAAAATAGATAATTTTTTAAATAAGCAACTATGTGTTTTCTTTTCATCAACTGATTCATCTCATTATTCTATTCGTAAAAGTATTAAGGTATGATTATCAATAAGTTA